GTGCCGTTTTCTGTATATTTGCGTGCTTTGTACGGCGCGTAAGTGTATTAGTGCGCAGGCCAAGAGTCCGGTCGATTGAAACCACATTGAGCATGTCGCGGTCGGCGTTCCAGAGGAGCGCGCAGGGTTCGACCAGATCTTGGGCCACGGAGGGGCCTAGATCCTCGTCTTCCGCCTTTGCGACCAACGCCGACGTCGAGAAGGTAACTATGCTCGCGAGAAGCCCTGGGAGGGGAAGGGGCGGGGGGGGCGAGGATGGAGGGGAGAAGAAGAAGGGGGAGAGGGGGAGCAGGAGGGGGTGGAGGAGGGGAGGAGGGCAAGCTAATTAGGCACGCACGCGCCATATCTGACATCCAAGCCCAGGAGTTTTGTGTTTATGACGCCCCAAAAAATCTCTCGGCTGGCAATTCAACTCGTCCTGCCCCTCCTCGTCATCATCATCATCATCAGCAGCAGCATCATCATCACCATCATCAGGGATACTCATCCCCCCTCCGACCGTCAGCGGTGGCCGCCGCTGTGTAATAATGCTTTTCAAGTGTCACTGGGCCCAAATCCCTAAATAACCCCCGCGGAAATTAGTTTCCCATCCTGGGGGGTATTGAAGACGATGTGGGGTTACCCATCCCTTCCCACTTCGCTGTGTTTTCCCTCCATCCGCCGACGCGTGTTAGCGCACCTGGAATTCCAAAGATGACCCCATCGTGTTATGCGCAATCGGATCAAACGGGGCTGCGTGCGTTGGAGGAGGAGGTGGCGGATGAACAGGAGGATGAGCAGGAGGCAAGGGGAGGGAGACGTGGAAGAAGGGGGGCGAGGACGAACAGCGGCAGCCGCAGCAGCAGGAGTTGGAGTGGAAGGAGCGGCATGGTCAGGAGAACCGGGGGAAGGCCGAGGAGGGGGAACGAGGGGGGGGCGACAACGATGAGAAAGGATTCGGGTCCAGAAAAATTGCCCGCGCAGGGCCAGAGCGCCAATCTGAACGACGGGAGCAAAGCGCCGATCCGAAAAGTAAGCCCGCGCTGTAGTGAGGACCGGCTCCCCCTCGACGGAGTCCAGGGAAAGAAGGAGTAGCATTCATCATGTGTAAGTGCAAAGGAGCAGCCGCGTGGGTAAAGGAGCAGCAGAGGGGGAGGAAAGAGGAAAAGGGAGAGCAGGAGGAGGAGGAGGAGGAGGAGGAGAGGAGGGAGGAGGAGGAGGAGGAGGAGGAGGAGGAGGAGGAGGAGGAGGAGAAAAAGGATGAGGAGGAGGAAGAGGAGGAGGAGAAAGTTAAATCAGTGCGTTGTTCTAGGGGGTCTTAGCACGTCAACCGTGTCCTCCTCCTCCTTCTCCTTCTCGTTCTCCTCCTCCTCCCCATTGCCGACCCTGCTCCTGATCACCATCCTCCACCCTCCTCGTGTTTACATTGGGCAAACTTAAGCTGAACTGCTGGAGCGTGCCACGGAAGGTAACAATGCTGATTTGGGAAAAATGGAGGAGAAGAAATTAAGGTTGTGGCGAGTGCAGAATTTGAACGGAAAAGGGAGATGGCACGAGCTGTGGTGCCTTCGCGGGCTAGAGTAAGCTCGCAAAGCCATACAGAGGGAATTGAATGTGCGTGCAAGGTAAACGCTAATAACAGGGAAGCGTGCTTGCGCAGTGTTCGACGTTGATCCTTCAGGGCTTGGCCCTCAGGGTAAGTCAGGCAGCTCTAAGAACATGAGGCTGGCGGCACCCCAACATACTAATATTATGTGTGCGCCCCCCAGGGGCGACACGCGCACCGAGAAATCTCATAATATATGCGTCGTGGCGGGCGCTTTCCGGCCACACCGCTCGGATAAGTATATACTACAAGATGGGTCTATTGTATGTTGTGGTCGGACGCGCGCCTCCAAGGAGGACATCTACTACTAGGATGTCTCTGTGCGTCCCATGTTACTTTGAAACTTGGGCAGTGCAGGCTATCACTTGTCGTAGACCCACCTGTCGGTGACAGCTGCTGGCATTCAAGTGTGAGCTGCTTGACCCGAGGCAGGAGAGCGCAGAAGTGCGAGATGGGAGCGGTGACAGAAGCACGGCGGCCCACAGTAAGGCTTACGCCCCTCCGCCAGATGCCAGAATGGCCTGAGTCGACTCCCCCTCCTCCTACGCAAATAACGTCACCCACGGAGGCTTCCCAACCCAAAGTCAAGCACGCAAAGTATGACGGTGCAGGCTGAAGGTTAGCACACATTGCAAAGGCTAGCTGGTAGCCCTATAGATATGAGTGATCGGATCTATTTGGTATCCTAATACAACGGGCCGGCGTCGGTAGGCCACCGTGGGATTGGCCATACATGGGCGCGCACCCCCCTACCGACGGGCCAAAGTGGTCACAAACAGCAAGCCACAAGTACCCTCCTCCTCGTCACTCCTCATCCCCTCAACCTCCCACCACGATTAGCACAAGACCGAGTTGATATGGCGCTAAGTAATTTTGCGGCATTGGGACAGGGCACTGTGATTATTCTCCTTATCCCCAAAGAATAAAGCAAGTCTTCAATACGCCTACACCAGCATATCTTTCCACGCATGTTTTCAACATCCTACTCAATTTGGTAACTGTTTGATTTGCGACTTGTCTTCCTTTGTACACTTAAAGCACTAGGCCAGCCTGCACTTGCACAGCCAGCCCAGCACCCTGGGCAGCCTGAGGCATGTAAACTTGCGTACCGAGAGCTGACCTGCAGGAATACCACTTCGCATCGTACTGCTTTGGGTGGTGCGGGGTCCCCGTGGGTTTCTGGGAGGGCCCGCCCACAGAGACCCTAAGGTGGAGTGGTACCAGTGTTTTGCCTCCCTCCTCCACCTCCTCCTCCTCCTCCCTCTCCTCCTCCTCCTCCTCCTCCTCCTCCTCCTCCTCCTCCTCCTCCTCCTCCTCCGCCCTGAACTGAACCGCCGTCGGGGTGGCAACGCAGCCCAAACATCTCCACGTCCAATCCTCAGAAGAGGTTCGCGGCCTTGGCCAGTAGGCCGCGCCCTTAACAAGTTATGGCTGCTACTGCAGAGGCATCGTACCCTTAAGCTGGTAAGACAGGTGGGCGGACAGGCGAGCGGAGTAGCCTCCCGTTCCCTCCTCCGAGGATCGAGGAGAGGAGAGCGGCCGCCGCAGCTCTTGGTTGGCGAGCGGCGCACGGGAAATGAAAGCGCGCGGCGCGCGGGAAATGGGAGGTTCCTCCCTGACTGCCTGCGTCGTCGGGCAGCTGCTCGGGCGCGCGCGTGCGCTGGAGGCTTTTTGTTGTCGGGTACGGCGATCGCCCGCGTTATCGGGCCCGCCCGCCCCCCCCCCTCGCCCTTCCCCCAGAGAACCTGACCTTGTCCGCTGCGCAGGTCCGAAGGGGACAATTACGCAGCACTCGTGTGCGCGGGCATGCGCGGAGCTTCCCCAAGCGAAAAGGCTGGGTTATAGGCCGGCACCTGCCCCTCCACACACCGGATAGCCCGCGGTGCCGCCGAAGCACAAGACAACGGGTCCCCGCCGAGGGGCCGACGCCCAAAGTGTCACGTATCCCACGCGTTTGGGGTCGCTGAGGGCACGATCCCGCTGGGACCGAGCAGGGGAGCAGAAGCACCTCTCGGAATAGAAGGAGCACGCCGAAGCGGTGGACCCTCTCATTGCCCTTCTCGATGACGTCGCGCTTGGGCGTGTGAGTTGCGCGTTGCTAAATTCAGTGGGCCCTGGGAGCGACAGGGCAGTTTGTTGCAGTTTTCGTTGCTCAGTTTCTTTTGCCGTGTTTGGCGCACCTGTTGTGACGTTTCCTGCGCCGTTGTTTCACAATTTTCGTGTCCCCTGGTGGGGGCCTTGTCCAGATCACAGGTTTTCTATCGGAGCCGTCTTCAAATCGACCCCGAACGTCCTTCGGATCCCCCGGGCCGTTTCAGTGAACCGTTTTATATATATATATATATATGTATATATATATATATACCGTTTCGGTGAACCGTTCTTGTTGCCATGTTCGTGATCAGGAGGCAGATATTTGAAAACGGTTGAAGGTTGCCTCGTCGCTTCCGGGGCCCACTCAGGCCAAGAGACGCTCGAGTGCACGCGTCGCCGGACAGGTGTTCGGGTCAGGCGGCGCGACCCGATGCGGACGCCGCCGATGCCCCCACAGAAGCAGAAGCAAGGATCCACCAGCCTCGAACTCATCCCTATCCCGAAGGTTGGCACGCGACAAGGCGGTGGGAATCTCAGGGATGCGCCCTCAGAAACGAAGGGAATCCCTAAGATCGGCATCGTGATGAGCGTGATGAGGCGATGCCCAGCATAGGGATAGGGATACGTTCCAGGCGGGAGGAGAGGAGGGAGGGAGGGAGGGAGGGAGGGAAGGAGGAGGAGGGAGGGAGGGAGGGAGGGAGGGAGGGAGGGAGGGAGGGCGGGAGGAGAGGAGGGAGGGAGGGAGGAGAGGAGAGATAGTCAAGGATGGAGGGAGGGAAGGAGAGGAGAACGGGCGGTCCCTCAGACGCACGTCCCGTCGGACTGCCGGGCCCCGCCGCGCTGCTCAGCGTCGGACGCTTGGACCCTGCCGAGCAGCGGCGTCGGCCAGGCAGCGCCGAGGAGCGCCCGTCGAGAGCAGCGCAGGGCATCCACCCCGAAGCTGCAGTAAAACGACGCGAAGATCGGGACAAAATCGGATCGGGATAACTCGAAATCTCTGAGAATCGGCGGGTTTGGAGGATGTATTGGGCGCCGCGGCCGCTCCAGAGCGTTCCGGAACGCTCTGAGAGCGCTCCGGAACGCTCTGGAGCGATGTATCCCGATCCTAGCCTTGTTTTATGCAGGGAATCCTGGCGGGGCAATTTCCGGTCCGAAAGCGACGGGCGGGGTGCAGGGCGCTCGCCCGACGAAAGCAGTCGCCCTGAGATTCCCGCCCTCCTCCTCCCCTCTCCTCCCCCGTCCTACGCCTTCCTCCCTCCCCCCCCCCCATCCTCAGAACCCCCGCCGGGCGCGAAGGGTTCCAGCCCCAGCCCCGAGCCAGGAAACGCGCGACGAGCTGGAACACCGGGTCGCAGAGCTGGAGGCCGCTTCGGCTGGGCCAGCCGCCGCCGCCGCCGTCCTAGAAGGAGGAGGAGGAGGAGGAGGAGGAGGAGGAGGAGGAGGAGGCCAACCTACCCGCCAACGCGGAGCGGCTGAGCGGCCACCGCCCTCCACTGCCGCCCAGTCCTGAGGTCTACAACGCAACCTTTCGCTGCCAAACCTTCGCCTCTCAACCCTCCTCCTCCTCCTCCTCCTCCTCCTCCTCCTCCTCCTCCTCCTCCTCTCCTCCTCCTCCTCCTCCTCCTCCTCCTCCTCCTCCTCCTCCTCCTCCTCCTCCTCCTCCTCCTCCTCCTCCTCCTCCTCTCCCTTCCCCCCCTCGCTCCCTTCCCCACCTCGCTCTCCTCCTCCTCTCCTCCTCCGCTCCCTTCCCCCTCCTCCCCTCCCTTCCCCCCGGATTGCTCGCCGCCGCCGCAGCCCCACCAGTTTGATCAAGCCCACCCGGGGCGACCGCCCCGGGGGGGGAGTTGGGGGGCAGGGTCCCAGGCGAGACGTTGATGCTGTCAGTGCCAGTGTCCAGGAGGAGGAAGAGGAGGGGGAGGAGGAGGGGGAGGAGGAGGAGGAGGAGGAGGAGGGACAGGATGAAGGGGAGGATGAGGACGAGGACGAGGAGGAGGAGGAGGAGGAGGAGGAGGAGGAGGAGGGGGAGGGGGAGGAGGAGAGAGAGCGCGCGTGAAGTGCGGCGCGCTCAGCACGGCTCAGTTGGTCAGGCTCGCGCGCGCATGGACCGACCCCGGCGACTGGGGTCGAAAGGCCCTGGCTTGGCTGCAGAGGCGCAGGATGTTCCATCGAGGGCGATGGGTGCCAGTGGAACTGACGCTGCGCTCTCCGTGCGCTCTGTGCACCGTTTTTAGAGCGCAAGCGTTGCGAGTAAGACACCAGCCCGTTCTCTTTATGTGTGTCGCAGGAGGGGGAAGATCGGGAGGGGAAAAAACACACAGACACAATGAATCGTCGATTTTCCCGGAAAATATGGGAGAATATGGGAAGGGGGGGGGAAGACAGAAACCCAGGAAATATGGGAAAACATGGGGAATCTTTTTATTTGTGTGTATTTATTTGTGTGTCCTGGGGCCCCTCCATTTATGTGTGTCGCAGGAGGGGGAAGAGGGGAGGGCCAGAGAGAAGAGCCGGCACGCGGCGCCGAAGCTGCCTTTTAGCGCCCGCCGCGCGGTCCCGGCTCCCTCTTATCACGAGCCCGAGTCAGACAACGTTTTTTTTCCCCCCCCCCCCCAAATGCGTACCGAATGCATGCTGCCAGTGCCTCAGGTTTGCTCAAAAGCGTACCGACTGCATGCTGTCGTGTCCAAGCCTGCCGTCGTAACCAAGAATATCCGCACTGCATGACAATGATGGCCGGTGGTTCCGTGGTTCCTGTAGTCTGCCCTCCCCCATCGTGCGCAAGTCGGTGCAGTTACCCCCCCTCCCCCCCCCCCTCCCCCCGACGAGCGCCCAGCCTGTCTCAGGATCAGGATGCGGGGGGGGGGGGGGGGGGGGGGGGGCACATCACGAGTCTGACAGTGTGCCCTCCACCATTGCAAGTCGGTGCAGTAGCGCCCAGTGGAAAGGGGAGAGCTCCGTGGGGCCTGCCTCAGCATCTGGACGGGGGGTTGGGGGTGGAAGTGGCGATGTAAGTAACTGCGGCCCCGTCGGCTGTGCTGGGTAAGTCTTGAGAGATGGCGTGGGGCAGGGTCTGATGGCCCGTCGGCCGCAGGAAGTGGCAGGACGCGGATGGCGAGAGCCCTACCGCTCTACACTGCGAGCCGGCGATCAGAATGAGATTCGACCGCATGCTTTGTGCCAAAGCAGTGAATTTGAGAATGCCACGCCAGAGGCTCGGAAGTTTGGAGTGATGGAGTCTAAAAATGAACAAACAACGACAGACACAACAACTCTCCGAGTTCCACACAGAGTTCTTGGATCGGCGTTGGACCCCTTGCCGGCGCCCTCAGAGCCGCCCTTGGCGCGCTCCGCGCGCCAGGGAGGGGGTCCAGCGCCGGTCCACGAAGTCCGCACGGCGCTCCGACATGTTATGTGTGTGCCGCTTCCTCTTGATGAAAGGGGGACAGGATCCGACAGTTCATCCGCAGGCAATGCCAGGACTCGAATGATGAGAGCCCTGTTGGCTCTACAGTATGAGCCGATGGTCACACCGAGATCCGACCGCATGGTTTGTGGCAAAGCGCTGCGAAGTTGAGAGGGAAAGCGCCCTCCGACCGTGTAGTAGAGAATATGTTGCGCTTCGTGTGTTACCACCAGCCCATCCTGGTACGATGCTTAGGCCAGTTGCTTTGATCAGAAGAAACTCTTTCTCCCACTCCTCATGCATCCTTCTCCTCCCCTTCCTCCTTCTCCTCCTCCTCCTCCTCCTCCTCAGTGGAGGGGCATGCAGTGGAACAAGGTGGGAGCAGCCGTCAAGCCGAAGCTCGGGGTTGCCTCGGCCAGACCCAGGAGTCAACCATACATGCAATCGCGGACCTTGCGCTTTGGGAGCATTTGGGGAGCCTGTGTGGATCCTCTCGTGGCAATTTGGGGGGCTTTCGAAGCTCTCGTGGAGCGCTCTCCGGGGCATGTCGAGCCCTCTCAAGGCCCTCTTGGAGGATGTCTGTCTGAGCAGAGGGGGTCCTAAGGTGGAGCCTCCGCGTTGGAGCCCGACAGGTCGTATCTGGGAACCCTCTTGAGACTTCGGGGGGGACCGCTCTTGGAAGGCATCTGGGGCCGTCTTGTAACCAATATTGGCCCCTCTTGTGGCTCTCTTGAGCGATGTTGAAGCTATCCTGAAGCCGCAAAGGCCCATCGGAAGCGACACATCTGTAAGGCCAAGCATCTAAGGTGTTTGAAGGAGTTTGGCTCCTGGGACGGGAGGGGGCGTCCTTGGAGGCTCCGAGGCCCCCCCGAGCTGTTTTGGGGACCTCTTGGAGGCATGCCTGGGGGCAATGTGGAGCCATCTGAGACAATGTTAATTACGCAATCGCGGAGATCACACGCGCCGAAAGATGCCCGTGAAACCCAAACTACAGCTGACAATTATTGACGATAGATTTCGCTTACGCATGGGGAAGAATACGGGTTTGATATAGCCTTCGCGTCGGAGCCAGAACATTCGCATACTGGAGAGCTGTGAGGGCGCTCTTGGGGTTGTCTTGGAGCCTTTACGGGGCCCTCGTGGGGCCCTCTTGCGCTATCTTGGAGCCATCGACATGAGCCCATCGCGAACGAAAAGGCGAGAAAACGCAGACCAATGAAGCAAATGTTTGTGAATGATTTTGGCCTCGCGGGGTATCGTTGGGACGCTCCGTGTCCAGTTGGAGCCGTATTGAAGGCATTTGGAAAGTAAATATGATACAGTTTGGGTTATCTTGTGCCATCTCGGGCTATGTGCGGCCATCTTGGACATTTCTGAAAGATCCAATTAGTCGCCCCCCCCCACCCGTCCCGTCCCAAGGGAGCGGGAGGAGGGGTCGAGACCCAAACGGGATCGCCATAAGCTGTCTCGCTTATTCCCACCCGCCCTCCCCCACATAAGCAACACCTGAGACTCGGCATATGCCAAGTTTGCTATCGGATGGACAGCCAGTTGGAAATCAATACAGACGCCAGAGGCGCGACGCTCGAGAGGTGCGCCACGCGTGCCAAGTGCGCCACGTGCATCGGGTGCCCTAGATTCCCATGCGTAACAGGACCGCCCGGACCCAGTTCGGGGAAACGTAAGGTTCGAGTTCGTTCGAATTCGGGTTAGCCGACGCTTTTTGACGAGCCCGTCCTGGATGTTGACGGTCTACTTTGAGTGGGATGTTCACAGCAGGTCGCGTCAAAATTCAGAACGGGTCTCGTCATTTTCCTGACGGCCCCGTCAGGCCAACCCGAGTCACCCGAACCCGAGTCTCACGTCGCCCCGTTTAGTGCCTGGTTCGCAAGATGCGCCGTGCGCACCAAGTGCGACACGTGCGCAATCCGCGCCAGGTGCGCGACGCGCGCAGAGAGCGCCAGATGCGCCAATGCACGTGACAGCGCGCACCGAGCAATATGCCGACATCCCCACACACTCTTTTCGAGACCCATGTAAAGTTGCGACGTGGTGGTCAGCATCGTGCATGGTGTGTGGAGTGTCCGCCAGAATACGTTTGGATTCTCTGTCAGGGTGCCTGGGCGAGCGCACAGCGGACAAATGTGCTCACACCCCGCCCTGCCAAAAGCAAATGTACCGTGCTTGCGGTTTGCCCGCTCACGGTCGAGAGTTTGCCGCCACGTGCATTCGGTAAGTTCTTTTGACCGGGATGGTGGGGCGGGGGCTCACGGTTCTTGGTGAGTTGCCAGTCCATCTTGGAGGTCATTTTGAGCTCCTCTAGTGGGCCATAGTGGAGCCATATCGGACCATCTTGGACACTCCAGTGGGTCGCGCTCCCATGTCCAGACCAAGGGGGAGGGAGGGGTAACGCGACGCCCGCGAGGTGCGCCGCGCGTGCCAGGGCACCCCCCTATCATTATGATGTTCCAACCTCTTTTAGTCATGATCAGCAGAAAGAATATCGAGCACCAAGAAAGCACCGAAATTGGAGGGTCTTCGCGTGTCGGGCCTGTGGAGGCGATACTCGTTCGACATTGTTTCGATAGTTTGCTGGGTGCTCGAAATTTTGTCCAGGAAGTGGCCCTTAAGTACGACGGGAGCTACGTAACCCTGTCACCAGCGTCAGTTCACAGTGCAAGAGAGATGACTGCGGGGCGCCCGCACACGAAGTCGAAGAGTTTGCTGCAGCGCGCACTCTGCACTGGCTGTTGACAGGGATGGTGGGCCTGCACGCGTGGGGCGATGTGATGCCACCCCCCTCGCCCCTCGTCAAAGAACAGTGAACACTGATCTTCGGGCGCCAGAAGGAAAACCCCCCAAAACAACAAAAAACAATGGAAACACCCCCCCTCGCCCCTCGTCAAAGAAGAACGAAAATCGAAGGCGGCCCAGACTTCGCCGCAAAGTTGATCTCCGGTATGTTTTTTTTTTCTGACGGGGATGGTAGGGGGATCGGCATTGGCCTGAGGGGTCAGGCGACAGTAGAGTGGGGGAGGGGACAGAGCAGTGATAACCCTTCCCCAAAGCGGAGGAAGGAGGTTGGAAGAGGAAGCGCCCAAGGCCGCCTCCGCCCATAGGGCTGGTGGAATTGATCACAGACGCCCAACCATGGTACCTTGAACGCCCCCCTGACGCGCTCCAGGTCCTGGGGAACCCGGGGGCGATCCTGAGAGGGTGTTGGAGGATGTTGGAGGATGTTCGGGGACCGCTTTGCTCCCTTGGGGCTGTTTTGGGCCTCGCTTGGGAAGTCCGTCTAGATAGTACTGAGGGGCATCAGGCCACAGGTCATCCCAAGCCGCTGCTGGGCCGTCTGGAGGGCGTGCGACATCTTGCGGAAAGCATCCGGATCCATGAACAGTGGCAAATACACAGCGCACAAAACGTCGCAAGTATTCCAAAAAAACCCAAGGATTGCAAAAAAAAACCCTGGATTGCAAAAAACACCCAGGATTGCAAAAAAAAACCTTTTTCGAGGGTTTTTTTGCAATCCTTCGTCCAGGGTTTTTTTTGCAATCCTTTTTGCAATCCTGGGTTTTTTTGCAATCCTCCCTCGTCGCCACCGCTTTCTAACGACGGCGGCGACGACGGCGACGACGACCTGCCGTGGCAGGCCGAGAACGACTGGCTGTGGCAGCGGAGCTGCCAGCCCCGGCACGCAGCGTTGCGCGCGCTGGCGCCCTCGGAGCTCGACTCGGTGCTCGAGGCCCGCTCGGCAGTCGTTGTCGTCGCTCCTCGTCCTCCGCCTCCTCCTCCTCCTCCTCCTCCTCGTCCTCCTCCTCCTCGTCCTCCTCTTCCTCCTCCTCCTCCTCCTCCTCCTCCTCCTCTTCCTCCTCCTCCTCTTCCTCCTCCTCCTCGTCCTCCTCCTCCTCCTCCTCCCTCTCCCGACTTTGCGTTGGTCGGACTTCAATCCACGCATCTATTGCAGCGTGAAGGCCCTCCCTCGACTCCCTCATCGTCATAGGCCTGCCGCTCGTTGAACCCCCAGCGACGCGCGCCCAGCGAGGACGAGTATAAGGACACGAGCCCTGCGACGGGATAACTACTTGTGTACACCACAGTACGCACTGGTTCAATCAAGACTCAGCATTGCGTAGTTGTTGTTCCCCTTGAAGTCGACGGATGATGAAAAAGCGTCCTTTCGTTGCCGCCATTCCTCGACGCTGTCCCTCCTCGTCGTGCTCTTCCCCCCTCACACCTGACTCGTGTGGCGCTGTCAAGCCCGTGCCTTTTCCGGAACACTTGTCATCGTTTCGCCCCTGCTGGAGTTCGTCAGGACTATAGACTGAAAACGGCTGCGGAATGCCAACGCGGCGAGTGCATGAGTGACAGAACACATCGCACAGCAAACAGAAGCACATGCACGCAGCGATCGCCCCCACAGCACCCCTTTTTGGGGGGGATGACTGCTGCCTCTGCCGCTGGCTCTCCGGACGGAGACGGACAGCAGGGAGAGGGGGGGGCGGACGGATCGTGCCCGTCCTCCTCGTCGTCACCGTCGCCACCACCACGCCGCCCCTTCCCAGCTCCAGGCGGCTCCGAGGCAAGCCTTAGGTCGGGCCTGTCCCTCTACAGGAAGAGTATCCAAAAATAGTTTCAAACCCCAAAGTATAGTCAGGGGACTATTTGTATAACCATTTTTGAATATTTTTAGAACATGTTCGGGGTATTTTTAACGTTTCGTCCAAACTCGGCCTGTAGGGGGACAGGCCCGACTTAAGGCAAGCCCCCGGGTGCCTCCAGGAGGTCCTCTGGAGCTCTCCCGCGAGCCCAGCGGCACGCGGCCCCGGAGGCCCCCCCCCGCCCCGAAGGGGCGGGCCGAGGCGGTGGTGGCGCCCGCCCGAGGACGGCCGCACGGCGGCTCGGGAGCGCCTGGGGAGCGCCCCGGGAGGGCCCCGGGGCGCCCCCAGACGGCGCAGGTGCCTTCGGTCAGTATCGTTTGACCGATCCCCATCCCCATGCTCAGCCCCTTCGAGGCCCCCACCAAGTGGCACCCCCAGCGGGGGATGCACCCCTCGAGACCGCACGGCGGCTCGAGAGCGCCACGGGAGGGCCCCAAGATGCCCCCAGACGGCGCCGGGGCCACCGGTCAGTCGGGGGCGGCAAAGAGGGGGGTGATGACTAGGGGGGGGGGGGTATCATGGCGGGGGCCATGATATTGCCCCAGATTTCAGGGCGCCTCTTCTTATTTCATTACCTCCCTGGCCCCCCCCCCCAAAGGCCGCGCACATGCCGCCGGTCATGATTTGCACCCCCCCCATCTTGGACACCCCCCTCTTGGCCGCTCCCGAGTCAGTATCGTTTAACCGATCCCCATCCCCATGCCCATCCCCCTCGAGGCCCCCACCAAATGGCACCCCCAGTTGGGGATACACCCCTTGAGACCCGGAGGATGCGGCCCATATCCCCACCTAGGAGGGTAGATCGGCCAGTAGGGCCCAGCCCGCGCTGGTGGGAAAGGGGATCAGTTAAACGATACTCAGTCAGCCTGGCCCCAACAGGCACACGTCGGGGGTTCGTCGAGGGGGGGGGTTCTCTCTGAATGTGGGGTCAGTGAACGAAGCCGGCTGGATGCTCACACCTCCTCCCTCCAGGAACCGTTCCGAGCGATGTTCCTCCCAGTCCCACCTCTGCTCCCGCCCCACCTTCACGTCCCCCCGAACAAAGGGGGCCCCGACATGGCCGGAAGAGAGCCAAAACGTCGCCCTGAGAAAACACCAGGATGGATCTGGGCTTTCCAAACTTGATTGGCCTACCGAGCAGTAACCGCTGCGATTCGATCGATCTGGGTCGACCCCGATCATATTGGATCTGCAACCCTACCGATCCCGCTCATATTGCCGATCTGACATTTCCCGCTCCGGCTTGCCCGGGACCGATTATTTGTCCGATTCCGTCAAATCGAATTCCCCACCAGACAGGTTGGGGTTGTTAGATTTCAAGAGCAGACCCCCCGGCCAACCCCACGCATACCGCGGCCGCCAGACCCCAAGTTGTCCCGAGAGTCCCCGATAGTCCCTGGGACTCCCGCCTCGCGCCATCGACAAACACGACTGCATACCGCGGCCGCCAGACCCCAAGTTGTCCCGAGAGTCCCCGATAGTCCCTGGGACTCCCGCCTCGCGCCCTCGACGAATACGACTGCATACCGCGACCGCCAGACCCCAAGTTATCCCGAGAGTCCCCGAGTCCTTGGGAGTCCCGCCTTGCGCCTTCGACAAACACGAAACACACAGCAATACACAACATAGCATGACAGAAAAGAAAACATAGCAATACCATGACAAGCACAGCGTAAGGCAACAACATGAAGCACATCATGGCAGAACATTGCAGAACATGACACGACATTACACACCATAACATAACATAACTGAGCATAGCATAACACTCATTGACGGAACATATCATATCATGGCATTGCGTTCAAAACATGTTATAACACACCAACGGAGCACAGCGACGCGCACGACATAACACAACATATCACAAGATAATATAGCATACCAAAGCACGATCATGGCATAACATGACGGAACATCATATGACAGTGTCATCGCAAAACAGATCATGGCATACTATCACATACCATGTCCTATGATATCATGGCAGGCTAGCACAACATAGTAGGCATACCACGACAGAGCATGACAGAAGAATTCATAGCATGAGACAACAGGACACAACATAACATCACAGAACAAACATGACACACCATACCATAGCAAATCATGGCACACTACAGCATACTATAACAGCACAATACATATCATGGCAGAATATTGCAGATCAGAACATGGCATAACACACCTTGACATAACAGGACCGAACAGAACATGACACACCTTGATGGAATATATCAGATCACGACACAGCGTTCAGAACATGTCATAGCACGCCAGCAGAGCATAGCGACGAACACGACAGAACACAACACGTCACAATAGAAGATAACGTATGTAACAGAACGCGAACATGACATAACATGAGCAGTGCCATTACAAACCAGACCATGGCATATGATTTCATGACAAAACAATGTATAGCATGAAAGAACAGAGCATCACATAACGTCACATAACAAACCATAACATAACGTCACAGAATAGAGAACCACATAACGTCAGAGAACAAACCAAACCAGAGCACAAGATAACATCACATGACAAACCAAAGCCAGGCCAGACCCCCAGTTGTCCCGAGAATCCCCGAGTCCTTGCCGCCGCCCCGCTGCGGGCGGCCTCCTCGCCTGCGTCCCTCAGTCTAAGGATGGGAGGGGGCAAGAAGGAGGAGGGGAAGGAGGCATGGGGCAGGAGGAGGACAGGGGCCCAAGGTTTCGGTGGGGATCGCTCGAAGCGAATCATTTGCTGCTAGATTCCGATCCGGCTTCCTGTCGAGGAGAAACTTCCCTCCCTCCTCCGCCTTGCCTTCCCTCCCTTCAGTCGTCCGCCGTCGACGTCGTCGTCGTCTTCTCTCTGCCGCCGCCGTCGCCGACGCCCACGCCGTGGTCGCGGGCGGGCCCGGCGGCGTCGGGCGCCGAGAGACGCCCTGGAGCTTCAGGAGGAGAAGAAACACACAGACACAATTAATCTTCGGTTCCTGGGAAAATATGGGAAACATGGGCAGTGGGGGGGGAAGACAGAAACCCAGAAGATATGGGAACACATGGGGAATCTTTTGATTTGTGTGTATTTGTTTGTGTGTCCCAGGGCCCCTTCAGGAGCTGTCGACCCCTGCGCTCTCATCTGTGTCGTTACTGTGTCTCCCCGGGCCCTGGGGCCCGCAAGCGGCCTCCCGAGGCACCTCCCGCCGCCGCCGGCAGGGCTTCTGAACCCTGGGGCGGGGGCGTCCCAGTCAGGAGGAAGAGGAGGAGGAGGAGGAGGAGGAGGAGGAGGAGGAGGAGGAGGAGGAGGGAGGAGGAGGAGAAAGGAGAAGGATAATTCAGAAGGAAGGAAAGATGAGGGAGGAGTACGGAAGCGGAGGGAAAGCGAACCACGAAATACGAACCATCCGCCAGGGGGGGCCCAGGGGGGGCCGGAGGGGGGGCCCAGGGTGGGCCAAGAGGGGGCCAGTGGCACGCGCACCAAAGATCATACAATCGGCGATGGTACGGTAGGTTCGCGTCGTGTCGACCGGCGGCGACCCCGCCGCCGACGTTCAACGTTGAACGCCGACGGCGGCCCAGAATCGGTCGATGTTGAACGATCGGACGTTGCGGTGACGGCCGATCGTTCAAGGTTGAACGATCCAGCGCGGTGTCAGGAACCAACGCCAGGGTCGACACGGCACGGACCTGCAGTACGATTTTTGGTGCGCGTACCACTGTCGCAGAGGGCGTCGGTTGGGCTTAGGGTCAAGTCAAAGGCGCACACGGCTTCGGCTTCTACAAAGCACCGTTTCCAGCACGATATTCACTCGCTCTGGCACGGGAGAAGTAGTTGGATGGGACATAAGTTCGACACGCAGTCGTAGTAGAATTCGCCGCAGTCACAGAAAATGGCCCGCAGCACGGCAAATTGCAAAAAATGTAGCATATGTAGTCGCAATGGTGCCAGAAGCGTTTAGGGCGCCACTTACAGGGGGCGCCGTCACCAGGCTTCGCTCTGAAGGGACTGTTCTGGCTGGGCCCGAACCGACTGCTCTCGGAGTGTTGCACGACAGCGGCGACCTGCGCCGCATCACTGGGTAGCGCGAAATTGGCCCATCCCTGTGAGGGCCTCGCCGACCGCTGATGAGAGAGTTGTTGGCGCTAGGGAAGAATTGCAGGGCCTGTCCGTAGTAGTGGCAGTAGCAGTAGTAGTGGTACTAGTTGCTGTACTTGCAGGAGCAGGTGTCTTGGTGATACTAGTCGCAGCTGCCGTAGTAGTAGCAACAGTAGTCGTAGTCTGAGTCGTAGTCTCAGTTCCATTCGTAGCCGTAGTCACAGGCGTTGCAGTATGAGCAGCAGCAGACGTAGATGTAGAAGCCGCAGTAGGCGTCGTCGTAGTTGCCGTAGTCGTAGCCGTAGTTTTAGTAGTAGTGGTGGTGGTGGTGGTAGTGATGGTGGCAGTAGCAGGGGCACGATGAGTACCCGCAGTCGTAGAAATTGTTGTTATGTCACGTGTACTAGTATTAGAGCTTGTTGCACGACGAGGACCAATGATAGCGAGAGGGGAGCACCTGTAGCGCAAGTAGAAGAAGGCGGGGACGTTAGTACCTACAGTAGAGGAGCGGCGGTCATGTTGCGGCCCTTGCAGTTTAACCGCCTCACCCGCCAACGTGCTTGATGTGTTCAGCCGTCTCATGGCTTCGCCGTTGGCATCGCGATGGCCCGATGGTAGCAATGTTCTGTCCGCTCCCGCTGCCCATTGCCGACAACGTACATAGACGTAATGTTGTTTGCGCTCGTGCTGTTCGGCCGAGGCGTTTGCGTGTTATAGGAGCCGCCTCTTGTGGAGCCCTCCGTGCTTGATCCCGCCCTTTCCGTGCCGCCTTGGGCGCGTGCTTCTCGACTCGACCACGTGCCGCAATAGAACACAAGCCAAGCATCGGCAGAAGTCCATCCCCCACATGCGGTACTGTGGAGGGGCGGAACTGTTGTGAGCAGCATGATGCTCCGATCATGAGAACCGTTGCCAGTTTCGGCGGGCGTTGCTACGTATGTGCGTGTCTTACATCGAGAGAGGGTACTGTTCACTCCTTTAGACACTGTACCATGTGTCCTGGAATTGACATCGCATCCTCCCGACCGCATCCTTCGAGGGCGGCCCAAGTGGGGGGTGATGATAGGGGGGTGGTATCATGGTGGGGACTGTGACAGATTCCCAGGTTTCGTTGCCCCCTCTTCTTTGTCCCGCCTCATCGGCGCACATGCCTCGGGCCATGGTTTGCGATGCTGCCTTCTCTGCTCGCGCGCATAGATGGTGGTGGCAGTGCAACCCCGCTCCGACGTGCCCCAGCCAGGCGTTACCGTCCACCTGGGGCCCCAACTCCCCCCCCCTCCCTGAGCAACGACAGTGACCGGAAACCCTAAAAAGCTGCCTCTCGGGCCATGATGGGCGGGCGGGTGTTAAGAGGGAGTGACCTAAATGAGGGATGCAGAACGAGTGCGCTAAAAGGGTGAGGAGCCTTTTGGGACCCCTATTGGCTGCAGGTTTGCCCCGAAATTTGGCCCATGTAGGACTCCATTCTTCACCCCCCATTGAGGTCAGTCCCGCCTAACACCCGCCCGACCCTTGGGCCATGAAATGCGAGCGCTCTGAGAAGGCCGCGGCGCCCAAGACATCCTCCAGAGCCGCCGGATCACAGAGATTCTCGGTATGTCCCCACCCGATTTGATCCTCGTCCTGGCTTCGTCCTTCTCTCGGGCCGTGCTGCTGTGCGAGCCCTCCTCGTGGGCACCCCTCTCCCTGCACGCCCCCCCGGGTGGTGAGGAGGACAATTTTGAGGCACCGGAAAGCGCTTTCCGACGCCGCAGTCGGCCAGTCGGGGGGTCCGCGAGTCGGCCAGTCGGCCAGGCAGAGTCGGTCAGAGGCAGGAGGGGAGTCGGGTAGGCGATCGTTCCCTCATGCATTGTTTTGCTGGTGGGCGCGGGCCCTCGCACCCCCCCTCCCCCACGGAGTAGATCCTGGCTGCTTTTGGCGCCTGTTTCAGGCAGATGGGGACCCGTCCCAATAGGACGTTCTGCCGTGCACAGTCGCACCAAAAGCAGAGGTCCGGAGCCAGACCCCCGGACCCTCCCCCCCCTTCTGTCCAATGTCGAAACGCCGGATAAAAATTATCTTGGCGAAGGACCTAACCATAAGCAATTGTTCGTAACTCGTTGTGGGTGCCGCTTTCGGTGGGGCTCCCTATGGGGCCACGAAACGTTGCCCTGGGAAGGGGAACCGCATGCGAGAGCAGCCACTGGGGCCTTCGGTGGGGCTCCCTATGGGGCCACGAAACGCTGCCCAGGGTGGGGGAACCGCATGCGAGAGCAACCACTGGGGCCTTCGGTGGAGCTCCCTATGGGGCCACGAAGCGCTGCCCAGGGTGGGAAAACGCATGCGAGAGCAACCACTGGGGCCTTCGGTGGAGCTCCCTATGGGGCCACGAAACGCTGCCCAGGGTGGGGGAACCGCATGCGAGAGCAACCACTGGGGCCTTCGGTGGAGCTCCCTATGGGGCCACGAAACGCTACCCAGGGATGGGAAACTTCATGCGAGAGCAGCCACTAGGGCCTTCGGTGGAGCTCCCTATGGGGCCACGAAACGCTGCCCTGGGTGGAGGACGCGCATGCGAGAGCAGCCACTAGGGCCTTCGGTGGAGCTCCCTATGGGGCCACGAAACGCTGCCCAGGGTGGGGGAAACGCATGCGAGAGCAACCACTGGGGCCTTCGGTGGAGCTCCCTATGGGGCTACGAAACGCTGCCCAGGGTGGGGGAAACGCATGCGAGAGCAACCACTGGGGCCTTCGGTGGGGGAAACGCATGCGAGAGCAACCACTGGGGCCTTCGGTGGAGCTCCCTATGGGGCCACGAAGCGCTGCCCAGGGTGGGGGAAACGCATGCGAGAGCAACCACTGGGGCCTTCGGTGGAGCTCCCTATGGGGCCACGAAGCGCTGCCCAGGGTGGGGGAAACGCATGCGAGAGCAACCACTGGGGCCTTCGGTGGAGCTCCCTATGGGGCCACGAAACGCTGCCCAGGGTGGGGGAAACGCATGCGAGAGCAACCACTGGGGCCTTCGGTGGAGCTCCCTATGGGGCCACGAAACGCTGCCCAGGGTGGGCTGAAGCAGAGAGCAACTGGGGCCTTCGGTGGAGGGGGAGGAGGGAGGAGGGAGGACGGAGAAGGGAGGAGGGGGAGGAGGAAGGAGGAGACGCGGGGCGCTGTCTGTTCAAAACGAGGACCCAACACCACAGGATGGTTGGGAAAAACACGCCCATTGGTCAAGCCCGGTGCCCCACTCATTGTCCAACTGCCCCGGGTCCCTCGCCGCGCTGCGCACCGTGCCAGGGCGTGGGGAGCGGCCCGCGGCGCCCTCTGGGGCGCCGCGGGGAGCAGCCGGAGGTGGTGCGCGGCGAGCGCCCCCCCCCCCGGCCGTCGTCGCTGTCTTCGGCGGAGGGAGGGAGGCAGCAGGATGAAGACGGGCATGTCCCTCTACAGGAGGAATGTTCAAAAGCACGCAGTCCAAATAGTCTGGGGACGATTGTTCTAGTATTGGTTCACTAGTTTTGTATATTTGCTGTGTATTTTTTATTTGTCGTCCAAAATCCGCCTGTAGGGGGACATGCCCGACCTAACAGCAGGACCCAGACGTGCTCGCGTCGTAGAGGTATCCATGGCGGATTCTTGTTCGCAGTTGTCAGACCTTGGCGGCCCTCACCGGGCCCGGGGACCGTCACAAGTTCTCTCGCGATGGAAAGCCGACCCTGGGGAAAGGGGTCGTGACTTCCGAGGTCCGCGCAGCGAGAAAATCAGGACACCGCACGCTCGGAGAGCAGGAGGGAAGGAGGGAGGGAGGCAGGAGGAAAGCCGACCCTGGGGAAAGGGGTCGTGACTTCCGAGGTCCGCGCAGCGAGAAAATCAGGACACCGCACGCTCGGAGAGCAGGAGGGAAGGAGGGAGGGAGGCAGCCGAGGAGGGAGGGCGGGGGAGGGAGCAGGAGGGAGGGATGGGAGGCAGGAGGGGAGGGAGAGGAGGGGGGAGGGAGGAGGGAGGGAGGGGGGGAGGGCGGGAGGGAGGAGGGGGAGGGGGGAGGAGGATAGGGAGGGGGGGGGAGGAGCAGCCGGAGGTGAGCCAGCACCCGGGGCTCCGATCATGTTGCAGCCAAGGCGGAGTGGAGGAGGAGGAGGAGGAGGAGGAGGAGGAGAGGAGGAGCAGCAGGAGGAGGAGGAGGACGACGACGACGGCGAGGAAAGAGGGAGAAGGAGGAGGAAGGAGGGAAGGGAAACGGGGATGGATGAGAAGGAAGGGAGCAGGGAAAGTATGAGGAGGAGGAGGAGGAGAAGAGGAAGGAGGACGACGGGGGCGAGGAGAGAAGAGGGAGAAGGAGGACGAGGAGGAAGGAGAGAAGGAGATCGGGGGATGATGAGGAGGGGGAGGAGCAGGGGAAGCAGCAGGCGGCGGAGGAGGAAGGAGCAGGAGGAGGGGGGGAGGGGGAGAGGAAGGCGACAGGCCAGAGGGAGGAGGAGGAGGAAGGAGAGGAGGAGGAGGAGGGCGGAGGAGGAGGAGGAGGAGGAGGAGAGAGGAGGAGGAGGAGGGGGAGGAGGGGGAGGGAGGGGGGGGATCGACCGGAAGAAGGCCGGAGCACGGGACCGCAAGACGTCGAGCAGCAGGGCGAGGGCCGCCGAGACCCCGCCCCCGGCCCCCGGCCTGCCAGCACCGGCGGCGCCGCGGGCATCCCCGCTGCGCCGCCAGGGGCCTCGCGTCCCCCTCGCGGTCCGTCCATCATCCTCCTCCTCCTCCTCCTCCTCCTCGATCTCCTCCTCTCCTCCTCACTCCTCCTCCTCTCCTCCTCCTCCTCTTCCTCCTCCTCCTCCTCCTCCCCCTCCCCCTCCCTGTTGGCAGTGGTGGTGGAAACCTGGCCCATCCCTCCCCCCCTGGGCGCGCCCCCCGACGGCAAGGCCAGGGGCCTTGCCGTCAGTCAGCATCGTTCCATCCATCCCCATCCCCGTCGGGCCATGGTACTGCGGCCTCACCTCGAGGGGGGAAGAGCGCCATCAGCACAAACGTTTGAAGCTCCGCTCGGAATTCTTGGATCTGCGCTGGGCCCCCCCCCCCCCGGCGGCGCCTCTGGCGTCGCCCCTGGCGCGTTCCGCGCGCAAGGAGGAGGGTCCAGCGCGGATCCAAGCAATCCGCGCGGAGCGCCAAAAGTTTATGGTTTTATGGTTGCGTAGTTGTTTTTCTTATTATGTCACCATCCCCCCCAAGGTTAGGGATAGGCACCTCGAAACCCGAAGGAAACAGCTTATTCCTATCCCCATGCAGGGCATGGATCGGCCAGTGGGGCCCAGGCCACGCCAGTGGGGATCGGGATCGGTGAAACGATGCTCCTTCAGGGGTCACGTCATTGGCGGGGGACATGGGCGCAGGGGCCAGGGGATGGGGTTATGATGTTCCAACCTACTTTAGCCTTGATCACCAGAAAGAGCTTAGAGCACCAAGAAAACAAGTACCGAAACTTGAGGGCTTTCACGTGTCGGGCCCTGGGAGGCGTTACTCGTTCGACACTGTTTACATAATTTTCTGGGTGCTCGAAATTATTTCTGGGATTTGGTCCTTGGGATCGACGGGAGCCACATCAGGAGGGGCCAGAAGTTTGGGCTCGATTTTCTCTGGCATGTTTGCCGGCTCCCGGCGCCCTTCCAGCTTTGGAGCTTCGGGGGTGTTCTCTCTCTCTCTCTCTCTCTCTCTCTCTCAGGAGGGAAAAAACACAGACACAATCAATCGAGGATTCCCCAGAAAATGTTGGAAAATATGGGAAGTGGGAGGGGGGGGGGAAGACGATAACCCAGAAAATAGGGGAAAATATAGGGGAACCCTGCTGTTTGTGTCTATCTATTTGTGTGTCCCAGGGCCCCTTCGCTCTCTCTCTCGCTGGCAGCTGTTCCCCGCCGAGAGCGCTCCCCACGGGGTGGTGCCCGAGTCGCCTCGAGCGGCCGCCGGAGAGCTGGCCGAGCGGCGACGCGCAATGCCAGGCGGGCAGCGCCAATGAGGGGAGGGCTGGCTTCCCAGACCCCCTCGAGGTATGAAAGAATCACGGCGGGAGGTTTTTCGTTATTTTTGGCCTCTGGGGGCCCTTGCCGGCCCTCGAGACCGGGGAATGGGTCCAGACCGCTGGGGTCGACGTCATGAAAAAATCATGACGTCGGGGGTCTGGGTTCGGGGGAGAGCGCATGGACCCACGGTCGCTCTGGGGTGGGCAGAAGCCCCCACCTTGTTACGTCGATCGGTGAATTGTCCGTTCTCGGTCCTCGAGAGGGCACCGCGGCCGTCATTTTCCAGGCTTGCGCCCGCCAGGTCTGGGCCCGAGGTCGTTTTCACGAAGCCACGTTTTGCTAAAGGGGGTTCTGCCCATCCCCGAGTCGCCCACGGACCGCCGGTGGGGTCCCAACACAGCGGAGGCCCGTGACAAGAAGCACCCTGCTTGCCTCCAGGGTGCCCCCGGCTTCTTGGGTTTCGATGGTTCTGGTGCGGAAAGCGTGACGTTCACACACCAAAAAATCGATGGACGTCTTGGGGTCTCAGGGTTGGGTATCTTGAGGTCGAGCCTCTACTGTAGCCCACCGCGCCCAGAAACGCGCGGTTGCGCTATCGTGGGCTTCTCGCCCATATGCTAGCGATGTATCGTCGATTCCAGGTCGGTGGTGTCCCCCCTTGAGCGGGTCCCCCCCTATCCTCCTCCTTCGCTGTGTTGCGTGATCGTTCTGTTTTGCCGCCTCCTTGTGCGGAGGGACGGCAACAACCGGGAGGAGTTGAATATAGAAGAGCGCAGAGGAGGAGAATGAGGAGAAAACTAACAGCCGAATATCATCAAGCAGCGTCAACTTAATAGTACAACCGTTAAGATGCCCTCGCCGAATTCTCGTGTCAGCGCCGGACCCCTCTTGGCTGTGCCTCCAGAGCTTCGATCCAGGCGCGCTGGCAGCTTCCTCCTCTGCGTTTGTTCTTTCTGCGGCTCCTCCCTACTTCTGCTGTTTATCCTCGTGCTGTTCCTCCTCGTCCTCCTGGTTCTCCCCGGAGACTTCAAGATATTTCTGTGACGTTGTAGTAGATTGCAGGAGAGGGCCTTGTTGTCGACCGCATCCTCGTTCGTCGTTTCTCCCCCTCCATGTCCTCCTCCTCCTGCTGACCCTCCTACTTGAGAGAGAGAGGCAGGAGGAGGAAGCGGGAGGAGGAGGAGGACAGGGAGGAAGAGAAGGAGGACAAGGGATAGAACGCGAAGAGCAGGTGCTCACATGCATTGCATGAAGAGGTGTATGTCGTCGTGCATGATTCGTACATGTCTGCATGCCTGATTACTTCATTGATGACTTGATTACATACGTGTAAGCATTCTCGATTGTTCGATTGCATGCCCGCGTGCTTACTGTCTGCTTCGTAGTATTGATTGTCACTGTGTGCTTTTATACATGATATCCGTCAGCGCTAATAAATATTATGAGCCCCCTAGTTGTAATATTGATGGCTGGGTGAGCCCATGATGTTGAAAGGCGATATGCCACAGAAGTTGGTGGTCTATCCAGTTACATGCGGTAAACCCCGCCACCGATCTTATATGCAACAGCAAAGCGAGAAGGATATTGAGTGTAGGAACAGCGGGACTCCGATGACATGTCTAAGATGAATTTTCGGACGGGTCGTGAACTCAACCTCGCCTTCGTCCGTACAGTAGGGGGATGTCGAGTTCACGCTCCGCTGAAGTTCAGCGAGCGGTTTGAATTGAGGCGGGTCATGAACTCAACCTCATCTGCGTCCGCGCGGTGAGGAGAAGGGGTAAGGAGAGAAAGGCATTGAAGACAGCTAAGAGAAGACCTCTTAGGCGCTCTCTCAGGGCCTCAAGGGAGCCTCTGGAGCCTTTTGAGAGCCTCTTCGGGCCTCTTGGGCGCCTCTTGATGCCTCTGGGCCATCTAAGAAAACTCTTAGCCCGTCTGACGCTGTCGGAGGCCGTCTTGAGGCCTATGCGGGCAGTCTCGGTGCTTTCTTGGAGCGTTTCAGGTGCGTCTCAGAGCTCTCTTTTGTGAGGCTCCTGGTCGATAGCGGGTTCCTCTTGGGCCGACTCGAGGCCATCCTTGGGCGCTCCACAGGTTGTATTGGCATTATCTCTTGGAGGCCTCCCGGGCCGTCCCGGGCGGTCCGAGACCCACACGGGCGAGATCTTCAACAGTGCTCAAAGATCTGGGGGAAAGCAACAGCATTCGCTCCCTCGGGCTCTCCGGGAGGGCCTCGTGGAGCCCTCCTCGGCCTTCTGGGGGCTTCTTGCGCCGTCTTGGGAGCTTAGGGAGGTGTTTCGGGCCATCTTGAGTCGTATTGATCTCATCTTGGCTTCTTGAAAGCAATTTGGCCTTGGCCACCTTGGCCTTGTGAAAGCCGAAAAGAGTGCCAGACACCGAATTCAGAGGGGCTGGTTTCAGAGGGATGATTGCAGGTTAGGGGGGGCGGCCATAGAAAACACCACAAAACTGTCCAGACAACAGAGGAGCTTTCTAACACGCACACGAGTGTGCCCACTCCGTGCAGGCACGCGCTCGGAATGTTCCATCTTTGGACACCCCTCCCCGCGCCGAGAGCGTGACCACTTGCTGGCGTTCCCCGCGTGTGTTTGCGCTACCTCGAGAGGGGATGCGGAGGGAGAAGAGGGTTGGAGCTTCAGAGATTCGGGGGCCTTGCGATCAGACTGATTATGATTGCTTGCCCCGGTAAAAAAGCGGAGACGATTGATGGACGAGGAGGAGGAGGAAGAGGAGGAGGAGGAGGAGGAGGAGGAAGAGGTGGCGCGGGGGAGGACGACGGCCACGATGACGGAGGATGGAGGATGACGGAGGCTGCAGGCAGGACGGCTGCCGACGGTGGTCGGAGGAGACCGCGAGGGGGGGACACGGCGAGGAGATCGTCGGAGGGGCGGGGGGCGGAGCACGGACTGCGGGGAGGACGGCGGCGACGGCCTCGAGGACCGCCAGACCAGGGGGGTGACAGCCGGCGGGCCGAGCGGCTACCCGCCGCCCGCAAGCCCCCCGCAGGCGAGGCCGGCCGGCAGCTCCCCGGCCACGGCGCCGTGGCCGTGAAGCTGCGCGCGGGTCGCCGCGGCGGGGGCGGCGCGGAGGATCAGCGCAGGCGCCGGGGCGTCGTCGTCGTCGTCGCTTTCGGCGGTCGTCGCCCGCAGCGTCGTCGGCGGACGGCGTCGACGACAACGCCGACGACCACGACGACGAGGACGACGACGACGACGACGACGACGACGACGACGACGACGACTCAGTTGAGCGGAAGATCGGGACAAATCGGAACCAGAGATTCTGGGAGTGTTCCAGAGAAAAATAGAACGCCGATGTGTGGAGCGTAGCGCGCGCAATCGCAGAAGTTCCCCAAGGAGTGCTCGAGGGCTTGAGGGGCCCAGGTAACACATGGGCGCTCGATTGAACTGTTTAGGGCGGGCAGAAAAACTGGTTTGCACGAGCATTGGGAGCGGGTGCACGGCTTGCACGGGGGGCGCAGTAGGTTTGCGTTTCAGGGACTTGGGCGCTGGCCGATGCGTTGATGGGGGCCCGAGAATGCGTCGCGCATGTTACGCCTTTGGCGCCATGGAGGCCGCATTTGCGGTTGCAGTGGGGCGGGCGCCCCGCCGCGCGCACCGTGGCGACAGCTCTCTTGGGCGCCCGCCCGCCGCCGTCGACGTAGTGGGCCCAGCTAGTCTCGCGGCCGGCGCGCGGCGGGTCGGCAGCCGCGACGCTGGCGGCCTGAAAGTGCTTCGAATGCGTTTCTCCCCGAGCCCGGGGCAATCGTACGTTTTCGGTGGCACGCGCAGCTCGGATAAAAAATCGCTTTGTTCGTCGGCGGCCAGTTGGCTGTCGTCGCGCAGAAGTACAGGCGGATGGCGCGGTCCACGCTCAGCGCAGAGAGCGTGTCTATGAGCGTGGGCTCGTCGAGGGGCAGGGGGAAGGACCTCGTGGTCGGGGCCATCGCGGCCCGCGATGTCCACGGCCCCCACCCTGGGCGCGGGTGGACCTGCTGGGCGCCGCCGCAGGCCGATTTCAGAGAATCTCGGAACCAGAAATCCAGGCGCGCCACATTTCGCGGGCCGAAAAACTTTCAGAGAGTTTCGGCCAGCTCCGGGGTTTTGGGTTTATGGGAATGTTTCAGGCGGGGCGGCTAGTTCAGAGATTTTCAGAGATTCTCAAAGAAGTTCGGACGCGAGAATTTGGCGCGCCTCGGTTTCTGGTTCTGTGAATCTCTGAAAAGCGGTTCCTCAGGTTTTACCGGATTTCCAGGCGTCCTATTGTCAGCCAGAGACGAGCGACTGGCTGGCGCCGCGCCTGGTGCTTCGGGAGTTGCGAACTCGATCCTCGATTCCCTGGGGCCCGCGGGCCCCGGGGCCAATCGAGAGGTTGCCGAGGCCCCCGGGCGGTTGCGCGCGATTGTCTCGGAAACAGGAGTCGGGCATCCATGGTGGACGCCCGCGCGTACGCGCTAGGTGTCCGCGATATTATTCGGTGGCGGATCTTGCCTGGCGCGGGGACCTTCCAGAGACTTTCCGGATTTTCTCTACGGTTATTTCGGCGCGCTTCGGGGCGCCTGGGGCGGCGCGGGGACGTCGCCGGGCCGCGCGCGGGCCTTTTTTCCAATGCCTTCTCGGGCATTATCGCGGTGTTGCACGGCCGAAGAGGTCACTGAGTAACACGCTTTTTGACATTTACGTGTTTTTCGTTGCGTTGGTTGCGTGACTGGTTTGGCGGTCCGCCTCCTTGGGGCCCCCTTGGGGCTTCAATTTTGTTTTGTTAACGTCGGGTCTTCTGGAGTGAGGCGCGATTGGCGCAGAATTCCCTCAGGCGCGCGCGTGGCCAAATACGCGCCGTGGCCTCATCCGCGCCGGGGCGCATTTCCTCGCTCGCGAAGCCGATGGCGCCCAAGGCGTGGCAGGCCCATTCGGCGGCGCCCCCGGTGATTTGAAAAACCGAGCATGAATTTTATCCCGGTCAAACTTCGACGGCGACGACGGCGACCACGACGACGGCGACGACGGCGACGACGGCGACGGCGACGACGACGACGACGGCGACGACGACGACGACGGCGACCACGACGACCACGACGACCGCGACGTCCACGACCGGGGCTCGTTTCGATTCCTCCGATTCGATTCGACTCAATTTCGATGGATTCCGATTTTGATTCGATTCGATTTTGGATTCCGATTTGGATTCCGATTTTTCAATGAGGCATTACTGCTCTGCCGATTTCCGCCGACTCCTCCCGGCTTGGCCGCTGATTTCCGCCGATCCGATTTATTTAGATCGCCGATCCGATTCATCGATTCGATTCTGGGCTCTCCTGACGACGACCACGACGACGACCACGACCACGACCGCGACCACGATCACGACAACGGCGACGACGACGACGACGACGACGACGACGACGGGTACGGCGCCAGGACGGCGTTGTCGCATTCGTCGCCGTCCTAGCCCGTGTCGTCGTCGTCGTCGTCGTCGTCGGAGGAGGAGGAGGAGGAGGAGGAGGAGGATAACGACGACGACGACGACGGCATCGACGTGGGGGGACGGAGAAGCTCCCCCATCTCTCTCCCCATCGCCCCCCCTCCGCGTCGCCGCCCTCGCCTGCAGACGCATCACCAGACGGAGGGCCACGGCGAGCGTGTGGGGGGGGGGGGGGGGGGCGCCCCCCCCCGGCGCCCCGCCCGCCCTGGCCACCGTGCCTCCCCTCGCGCCTCCGCCCTCCCCCGCGCGCCCACGTCCCGCAGATGAGGAGCGGCAGATCCCTCGGCCCCGTTCCTTTCTGGCCCCGCCTCGATTCTTCTATTTTCCTCTGCTTTCCTTTCCTCCTGGGGGCCGAGGTTCTTTCCGCCGCCGTCGCCGTCGAAACCAGGGAGGCGGGGCGCGCCCGTCTGGCGCGCGGGGAGGCGGGGAGACGCTGTGCTTAGCGGGAAGCGTGAGAAACGTCAGGATCGGCAGAGTCGCCGAGCGCGCTCCACATGCTCGCAAAAGGTGCCCGCTCGCCGCCAGGAGGCCCGAAGAGGCGAACGCCCGCCTCGAGGGCGTGGACCGCAGATCCCCCCTCCTCCTCCTCCTCCTCCTCCTCCTCCTCCTCCTCCTCCTCCTCTCCCTCCTCTCTCCTCCTCCCTCCCTCCTCCTTCCTTCCTCCCTCCCCCTCCTCCTCCTCCCTCCTCCTCCTCCTCCTTTCCTCTCCTCCTCTCCTCCTCCTTCCTCCTCCGCTCCTACTCTAACATCCGTCATCCTGACCCCCCCTCCCCCCTTCAAGCAGTGACGAAGCGACCTGGCTCGCCTATAGCCCTACCAAACAATGTTCTAGGAACCTTTTGTGGTTTCCACGAAATGTTCTTAGAACATTTCTGGCTGGGAGCGTCTTGGTTTAACACATCGTGTTTATAAGAACATTGTTCTTGTTTTTAGAACATGCTTGGGTTCTAAGAACATTTCGGGGTATGACTATAGGAATGCCGCGACGGTCGGTCCCTGCTCAACCCCTCCTTCTCATCCTCCTTCTCCTCCTCCTACTCCGCTCCTTTTCCTTATCATCCGCCGCTCTGCGGTTGATCGGGAGTTTCTGTATATATAGAAGAAGGGGCGCGCGCTTCTGGGCGAGAGGGAAACGACCGAGAGAAGAAGGGGCGGCCGCCCCACAGGACCTCTCCATGGTGCCGGAAGCCCATCAGGGCTCCCTCAGGGCCCCTCCCCCAGGGCCGGGGCTCCCTCGCCTGCCCTCCTCCCTCCTCCTCCTCCTCCTCCTCCTCCTCCTCCTCCTCCTCCTCCTCCTCCTCCTCCTCCTCCTCCTCCTCCTCCTCCTCCTCCTCCTCCTCCTTCGCCCCCGTCGGCATATCCAGGCGTGTTATGCAGTCAGGTCGTCCGTCCGGAAACGGTGCCGGAGGCCGCTCTGGGCTCCTCTGGGCATCCCCCCCGGGGCCCGTTTTGTGAGGATGTCTCAGGCGAGGGCGCCGGTTTGGGATTCGTCACCGGATCCAGCGGATCCAGCGGATCCGTCCGGAAACGGTGCCGGAGGCCGCTCTGGGCTCCTCTGGGCATCCCCCCCGGGGCCCGTTTTGTGAGGATGTCTCAGGCGAGGGCGCCGGTTTGGGATTCGTCACCGGATCCAGCGGATCCAGCGGATCCAGCGGATCCGTCCGGAAACGGTGCCGGAGGCCGCTCTGGGCTCCTCTGGGCATCCCCCCCGGGGCCCGTTTTGTGAGGATGTCTCAGGCGAGGGCGCCGGTTTGGGATTCGTCACCGGATCCAGCGGATCCAGCGGATCCGTCCGGAAACGGTGCCGGAGGCCGCTCTGGGCTCCTCTGGGCATCCCCCCCGGGGCCCGTTTTGTGAGGATGTCTCAGGCGAGGGCGCCGGTTTGGGATTCGTCACCGGATCCAGCGGATCCAGCGGATCCGTCCGGAAACGGTGCCGGAGGCCGCTCTGGGCTCCTCTGGGCATCCCCCCCGGGGCCCGTTTTGTGAGGATGTCTCAGGCGAGGGCGCCGGTTTGGGATTCGTCGGATCCCGGATCCAGCGGATCCAGCGGATCCGTCCGGAAACGGTGCCGGAGGCCGCTCTGGGCTCCTCTGGGCATCCCCCCCGGGGCCCGTTTTGTGAGGATGTCTCAGGCGAGGGCGCCGGTTTGGGATTCGTCACCGGATCCAGCGGATCCAGCGGATCCGTCCGGAAACGGTGCCGGAGGCCGCTCTGGGCTCCTCTGGGCATCCCCCCCGGGGCGCCGTTTTGTGAGGATGTCTCAGGCGAGGGCGCCGGTTTGGGATTCGTCACCGGATCCAGCGGATCCAGCGGATCCGTCCGGAAACGGTGCCGGAGGCCGCTCTGGGCTCCTCTGGGCATCCCCCCCGGGGCCCGTTTTGTGAGGATGTCTCAGGCGAGGGCGCCGGTTTGGGATTCGTCACCGGATCCAGCGGATCCAGCGGATCCGTCCGGAAACGGTGCCGGAGGCCGCTCTGGGCTCCTCTGGGCATCCCCCCCGGGGCCCGTTTTGTGAGGATGTCTCAGGCGAGGGCGCCGGTTTGGGATTCGTCACCGGATCCAGCGGATCCAGCGGATCCGTCCGGAAACGGTGCCGGAGGCCGCTCTGGGCTCCTCT